GGTATAGCTTCAATCCACTTAGACAGGTAATCAACAAAGAGCAAAATGTAAACATAACCATAAGAAGGAGGAAAAGGACCCATGAAATCAACACCCCATACATCAAACAGTTCACACACATAAATAGGAGTCAAGGGCATTTGATTCTTAGAGGAAAGATTACCAGTTTTTTGGCATTTAGGACATTTGTTACAAAAATCAGCAGCACCTTTATGTATAGTAGGCCAATAAAAACCAGATTCCATCACTTTATGGGGTGTCCTATATGGTCCAAAATGTCCACCACTCTCTAAGGAGTGGCAAAAATTCAGAATAGAAGGAATCTCAGAGTCATCTACGCATCGTCTAATAATCTGGTCAGAGCATATTCTCCAAAGATAAGGGTCATCCCATATGTAAAATCTGTCTTGAGACAGAATTTTTTCACGTAAGGACTTAGGCATATAACGAGGAAAGGTCTTGGTAACCTTAAAATTAACAATCTCAGCAAACCAAGAGATGGTAGAAAGTGCCAACAGACTCTCATCTGGAAAGGATCCTGTGAAATGACTAGGATTGGACGGTGGTCCTTCTAAACGACTAAGGTGATCAGCAACTTGATTAAGTTTACATGCCCTATCTTTAATTTCAAAATCAAATTCATGCATTACAAGAATCCACCTGATGAGTCTAAGTTTGCTATCCTTTTTGTTCATTAAATACTTAAGTGCAGAATGATCAGTGTGAATGTGTACCTTAACACCTAAAAGATATGACTTAAATTTCTCAAGCCCAAATACAACAGCATACATTTCCTTCTCAGTAACTGTGTAATTGACTTGGGCAGGGCCAAGGGTACAACTAGCATACTGTATTACATAAGAGGCTGTGCCTAACTTCTGTCCTAAAACAGCTCCTACGGCTCTATCGCTAGCGTCACACATCAATTCAAAAGGTAAATCCCAATTAGGAGCTTGAACAATAGGAGTAGAGCACAATTTATCCTTCAAAGCATCAAAAGCAAGTTTACATGCATCATCAAACAGAAAAGGCACATCTTTAGAAAGTAAAGCAGTTAACGGAAGAGCAATCTTAGAAAAATCTTGAATAAACCGCCTATAAAACCCTGCATGTCCTAAAAAAGATCGAATGTCCTTAAGGTTTTTGGGATAAAGAAGGGTCTTAATAAGGTCTACCTTAGCGGGATCAACTTCTAAGCCATGTGCAGAGACTATGTGTCCTAAAACTACCCCCTTTTCCACCATGAAGTGACATTTTTCGTAGTTAAGAACTAGATTTGACTCAATGCAACGTTTAAGAACCAGATCCAAGTTTTGAAGGCATTGGTCAAAGCTATTTCCATACACTAAAAAGTCATCCATGAAAATCTCAACAATCTTGGTGGAAAATTCAGAAAAAATGCTCATCATACACCTTTGAAAGGTAGCGGGAGCATTACAAAGACCAAATGGCATCCTCCTAAAGGCAAAGGTACCTATCGGGCATGTAAAAGTTGTTTTTCTTGGTCTTCGGGGGCTATAGGTACTTGGATGTAACCGGAGTACCCGTCTAAGAAACAATAATGAGACTTTCCTGAAAGTCTCTCTAACATCTGGTCCATGAAAGGAAAAGGAAAATGGTCCTTCCTTGTTACTTTGTTAAGCTTCCTATAGTCAATACATACCCTCCACTTATTGGGTTTCCTAATAGTGATGGTCTCACCTAATTCATTAACAGTCACGGTGGCTCCTCCTTTCTTAGGGACTACGTGGATTGGACTTACCCAAGGGCTGTTTGCTATAGGGTAGATAACATCATGTTCAAGCCACTTAAGGATCTCTTCCTGAACGACCTCTAACATAGGTGGATTAAGCCTTCTAGGGTGTTCTACTTTAGGTATGGCATCAGGTTCTAGGCTTATTTTATGGCTGCAAAGTGTAGGACTTAGCCCCTTCAAGTCTGCCAAAGTCCAACCAATTGCTTGGCTATT